ACAACCCGCGATGGGCGGCGTCGACGGCGACGTACAGCCCTTGGAGCCCCCCCCCGACGACGAGGAGGTCCACGGAACCGCCGGCCGCCCTGGGCGTCCGCGAATCCCCCGTCGAAAGCGACGACCTCGATGAACCCGACGCGGCCTCGGACGAAACGGAAAGCCCAGAGGGGGAAGGCAGGGGGGGGGGGTCAGGGGGGCGCCGGAGCTCCCACTGGTGATGGGCGACCCCGGCGAGGGCGATCAGCCCGACGAGGCCCCGGAGGCGCGTGAGAAACCGTCGAGATCGCCTTCCCATCGCGTGGGGAATAATTTGTCAACAAGCAAACAGGAAAAAAAAGGATCCCGCACGTGAAGGCGTTGTTTGAAGAGGGATGATGGAGGGGGGAGGGGGGGAAGGACTACTACCCTATTACGATGGAATCGAAAAGGAGAAGAACCGTATAGGGGAAAGGAAGAGAAAGGGGATAGTGAGGGTGGTGATTTATGGCATTGCTCAAGGAAATCGAGCACTGCAAAGGAAAGCGAACGTAAAGCCCCCTGGCAGCTACGCGCACCGCGGCAGGCTAACCATCCAATCGTTAAGCCGAAATCGGATTGGGTGTTAAACCTCGCAACTTTTTTTTTTTATCTCCGGAATCTTTTTAGTTGACTTGTACTCCTGGTGGACCTCATCTCCCAAAAAGCATTTATACGACTTATAGTTATTCATCTGGGGATAGCAGAGATTACGGATTGCCTTTCCCCCCTCCCTCACCCCTTACATCGGCTCCCTCAACTCTAAGGGGAAAAAGGGGGAGAAAAAAAAGGGATCGTCAATCAAATCCTCTGCCTCACTTTCTCTCTTTCGCTCTCTTCCTCACCCTCCTCGCTTTGGGATTTGATCAAATCCTGTTTAACGTTTCTTGTACAACGAGGGCAACAGCACCTCACCGGGCGGGTGGGCGAGGTTTGGATTCGCATCCTCCTGGTTGTTTTTTAGAAAATCAAACGCAACGAAGTAATCCCCGACGACATCCTGATAATCCAAGGTAAACCCGATGCTTTCCACCATCTCGGCAAACTTCTTCGCGGACGGGATACGCGAGCGAACCTCCACCACCTTCAACAGCCGATTCGGCTTCAGGATCCGAAAGGCCTCGAACAACCCTTTTTCGTAATCCGTCGACATCAAACTCAAGGAAAAGATACACACATCGACGGAATTCCCTTCCAACGGCACCGCCGCGAGATCCGCGACGGTAACCCGCTCATTCAACGCGACGAGATCGAAGGAATGGACGGTGTAACCCCGCGGCCCCAACGCGGCGGCGATCGCGGCCTCGCCACACCCCATATCCGCCACCACCCACGACGCGGGCAAACTCCCGGGCATGCCTTTCGCTTTATGCGCGAGAAACCGCCCGCGGCGATCCCCTAACAGCGCCGCGACGATCACCTCATTCGGATTCACAGGCCACCGCGCGAGTTGCTGGCGGTATCCGACGTGGTAATCCTCAAAGGTCGCGCGATCCGCGAGCAGGCGGCGGGCAAACGCGATCGGCGCGTTGTAGAGCTGCTCGTTGAGCAAGCGAAAGGTGCTCGCGTGGAGTTGCGAGCGAAAATGGGAGAGGAGGTCGTCGTCGGTGTGGTGGCGGAGCACCCGCCGGCGCTGCGCCGCGCTGCTCGCGTTTTGACGCCCCGACGCCGACGAGGCGGCGGGAAAAATGCGTTTGGAGGAGGGGGGGGGGTCGCGCGGGTTCGCGGAATCCCGACGGCCCGGCGTGGCGCCCTCGCCGTACACGACGACGGGGCCTTTTAGGGCGCTTCGATTCGTCGGACGGGATTTTCCCCCCGCGGAGGGCGTGGAAGGGGGACGGGGGTTCCCGCGGGAAGGGGCCTGCTCCGCGCGCGCCGCCTGGCGCGCTTCTTTTTTGCGCGTTTTTTTCGCCATTTTTTTCCTAAAATGGTTCCCCCCTAACATTTTTTTTATTTTTTTTTTTTTGGGGGGGGGGGGGGGGAGGTTATTTTGTTAATGCGGATGGGGAGACGAGGAGATGGCGCGACTTCTTGGGCGATCTATAATACGAGGAGAGAAGGGGAAGAGGGAGGAGGGACTAGGGGGGGTTGACCTTTGTATTTTTCTTTTTGTTTCTTCGCGCCGGGCTGTTTTGACGAGTATTTATAGTGTGTTTCAGAGATAGACAAAGGTAGCAGTGAGAATGAGTTGGGTAGACATAAAAATGCAAACATGATGCTACTTTTTCATGGCTTTCATGGGAAAAAGGTGGGGGGAGGAGGGGGGAGGGGGAGGGGGAAGGAGTTTTCCTTCTAGTGAAAGGCAACCCAATCTAGAAGGCCTCAAATGCGTTGAAGGATGAGGAGACAAAGGGACAAAGTTTATATGCTTCTAAATAGATATGTTATGTATCCTTAATAGTACTAGTTCTATGCATCTCACGAAAGCAAAACAGACCGTAGTGGTGCACTTTAAAGGTGGCAAAACGAAGCTGAAATTGCCGTCTTCCGCTATACAATCTCATACTGACCTCCCGAGGTCCAGGTCTTTCGCATTTTATGAAATCTCTTTTGCGGGTTTCGCACTCCCGTCTTCGGGAACGACGCCTTCTCGTGGATGATCGTTGTCTGCGATCGACCCCTTGCCGCTACTCCGGCGCATGGCGGCGGTTTGTCTAACAATACTCGTGCATTGCGCGAGAAATTCCTCCCGACTGCTCGTGATCTTTTTAAAAATCTCCGCCGCACTGGTGTGAAACTCCTGCATGCGTCGCTCGTGATCCCCCAGAGGGGCGTCAGGATTCATCCTCCGCTCCTCGGATCGCGTCTCCTGCGGGACCGTCGCCAAACCCCCTTCGGGCGAATCCAGAGGATCCTCCAGATGCTTTTGCGAAAAGTGATACCACGCCGTCTGCGCGCCCCCGCCTTTCGTATCAGGTTTCGAACTCAACATCAACGCCGCGGAGCGATTCGTGCGCCCCCCTTCTTCTTCCTCTTCACCGCCGCCGTCGCCGAATTTTTCTTCCTCTTTTTTTCCGTCTTTTTCGTTGTCTCCGTCGCGAAGCATCTCCAACAGACGAGGCTCCGCCGGATGCTCCAGTTGGCTGGTGCTGTTACACGGCGAGGTGTTCGAAATGCAGGAGATGGAACCCGTCGACGGGCTCCACGGCGACGTCCACGACGCCTCGGGGCTGCGAAACGGTTCACGAAGCCCCCCTTCCGCGCCCTCTCGCGACGGGGCGCGATCCCCCCGAGGCGGGCCGTCCGCCGAAGGCCACCCCACCGGATCCGCCGAATCCCGTCCGGGCCGCGGCAAACGCGTCCGAT